AAGTAATATAGAGTTAAAAAAATAAATAAATAAATAAAATAAAATAGAAAAAAAGAAGACATTATTTTACAAACTTGGAATTTCAATAGCAGTAGTTTTTTTAGAAGTAGTAAGTAGTGAAGATTTGATAATAACTTGAGGCTAAGTTATATAAAATTTTATTAAATAATTTAATAAATGATCGAATACTAACCAAAAAAATATAAATAAAATAACTCACTTCTCTTGAAACAATAACTTTAGGCTAGGTTATATAAAATTATATTAAATAATTTAATAAGTAATAAAATACTAATAATAAGAATGAAACTAACTTATTTCTTTTTTGTTTCTTTTTTATTTTGTAATAAGACAGTTGTTAATAAAATTGATACGAACGATGATGATGTGGACAATACTAATTTAAAAAATACAGATGTAGATGAAGCCTTTGCAGGTAAAGCTACTAAAGCTGAAGATGTTACAGATGATTTTAAAGCTAGTGTAAATGGTGTTGGTTTGGATAAAATTGATATTTTGCATTTATTGAACATTACACCTTAATCACCTAATTGTTTAGAGCATTTCAAAGTATTGAAATTCAAAAGACATCCAAATTGGTTTTCTTGCCTTTTTTCTTATACATTGTATTTCTAGTTTTAAGCAATAAAAGTTATAAAAAAAAACTTCTTTATTTATATAAAATTTATGTAATAATATTAGTATTTGAATTGCATGAATTACATGATATATAATAATAGACATATTAATTGATACATTAAATAATCAAATTGATAATAACATCATTCTATAATAGAGATTCGTTAGTACAACTAAAAACTTGCATAAAATTAAATAAATAATTTAAAATTTTATTTACTATAGACAATTACTTCATAACACCATATTTTATTACCAGTCAAAGTGTAATATATCTGGAATAATTAGTTTTTAGAACCATCTTTATATTACAATGATTTTTGCTATAAAAATATAATGGTATTGTTATTAGCTTTAAGACATATAAGTAATTATAGATGTTAGGAATAATAAGTAATATGAAATATGACTAATATATACAAAAAGATATATATTAATATTTATTCATTTATATATTAATAGAATTATAATTCATAGTATTAAAATTCATTATGTTGTATTGGATAGAATAATTTAAATTTATTCTTTAAAAAAAGATCAGCTATATTTATATTTGTAAATTTATATCAATTATACCTAATCAATAAAAATTCATACCTTTTGACTACTTTTTTCTTAATATAGTAGTTTATATTTTTATTAACTTTAGTCTAATCAACTTTTGTAATAGTTATTATAATTTGCAATCATTTTGGACAAGTTAATTTGTTAAACGATAAAACTTGCGCCTATGCATTAAATGTTAGGATGTAACTTTCTTAAGTATTTTTTTTGCTCAACAAAAATAGTGCTGTAATTATGTCAGTTTTATAATAATCTATTATATAAGGAGCATTAGGGTAGATAAATCTATGAGATAATTCATAGGGACAAACACTATGAGATAAAAATATAATCTAATTAGCTGAAGTTAGATAACGGTATCTATTATACAAAAATTAATTTTTTAAAATTTAAAATTGGCTTTGTGAATCCCAAGATATTTGGAGTTAAAAAAGTGAACATAAAGATTTGCAAATTAGTAGTTACACGAAGTATTATTGTCTATAATACTTTGTATAACTACCAATTTGCAGATCCTTATGTTCACATCTTTAACTCCAAATATCTTGGAATCCACAAGGCCAATTTTAATGATCTAACCACTATTAGAACCAGAAAAGTCTCCTTTACAATTTTACTTAGAAGCCTAAGAGAGATTTACTTATTAAATTTTCTTTAAATTTTAAAAAATTAATTTTTATATTAAATTCTTATATTTGTGTTTTTAATTCCAAGTATCTTGAGATCCACAAAGCCAATTTTGATGATTTAACTACTATTAAAATCAGAAAAATCTTCTCTACAACTTTACTTAGAGATCCAACAGACCCTAACTTAATAAAAAACTTCTTTAATTTTAAAAAAAATTAATTTTTATATTAATTTATTATATTTTCTATATTAAATGCTAAAAATAGAGATTTCTTAAAGCAGAGCAGATTACATAATAATTAACCAATTAAATTATCAAAATTTGATAAACTCAAATTAGTTCAACAAAGCTAAACCTATCTTAATATATTAATAAAAAATTGCAAAAAGGTAATTTTGTTTATAAAAATATCTTTGACCTCAACTCAAAGTAACTTTAACTCTAATATTAAAGAAAACAATCTTCTTAATTGAGATATTTGCTCCTGTTAAGATATCTTTATGTCAAGCAAAAATAAAAATTTTCAGTATTAAAATTTATAATATTACTTACTTTTTCATATCATACTTAAAATATTTTAATTTAAGTATTTTAATCAGTTTTATCACAAAATTCTAATATCTAAAATCTTGATAACAATAACTCTAAAGTGATAAAATTTAAAGATTAATAATCATATTAATAACATTGTCAAACTTTAAATCATTAATTGTTATATTACATGATATTAGTATTATAACCTGTTGAGATTTTAGATATTAAGATTATTTGGATCAAATAAGTTTAATTTTCACTTGACATAAGAATATCTTACGATCACAAGTATTTTATAAATATTAGTAATTAAAAGGTACAAAATTTTGCAAAGTAAATAAACTGATTATAATTTCTGTTTTAAAAATATTAATGTTATTAACTTTTTAAAAATAAATCAAACTAGATTAATATTTAATATTTTTTTTATAATTTTATTTTTTTTTATTTTTTATTTTAAATAATACTATATAAAATTAACAAACTTAAACTAATATAAAGATGTCTTATAAAATAAACTATATAGCAAATATTATATAATATAAATATAGAGACCTCATAATGCTATACTCTTTTTTGCTAATACTACCTCTAAATAGTTTAGCTAGCCTTTATTTTTAACACTAACTTTAAATTAAGTTAGATTTAGGGTTAAAGTTAGTCTAATATTATAATTATTTTTATTATACAAATTGTATAACTAAAATTTAGTATAATAGTTAGACTATATAAGGGTAGTATTAGTAAAAGTGGAGGTGGTATTAGCAGATCTCTAAATATATTTGGGGCTTTTCAATAGAAAGAGTGAAGATTTCTTTTACAGTAAATATAAGTTTTTTAAACTTTCAATTAAAATATCTTAATAACTATTAAACTAAATTTAATAAATTTTTTTTTTATTTTATTCTATAAAATTATAAAATTAAAAAATAAATTTTTATTAAAATTAATTTAATAGTTATTAAGATATTTTAATTTAGAATTTAAAAAAAAGTTACTAAAAACTTTTTTTTCCTTTTCTATTAAAAAGCACCTATTTATTATTTTAAAAAACAACTAATTATTATATTAATTATATACAACTTCTATAGCGAAGTCACAGGTTATAAGCTAGTTGATATATAATAATATACATTAAATCAAAATTATGATTAAAATCATATTTAACTTTAAGTCATTACAAATATTATATACAAATATCTTTTTTTTAAAACAATGAAGTTTCAATATACAAAGTGTAAAAAAACATTTTCTTGTAGAGCTTTACTTTGAAACCATATAAAAGTTTATAATAATACTATTAAAAACTTTTACAAAAAATAGCTAAAGAAAGAGAAAAAGAGCAGAAAATTCAAATAGGACAAGAATACTAACAAAATGAAGACCAGCCAGCAATAAAAATGGAAAATGAACAATTTGGAAGTAACGAAATAAGAATAGATAATGAAGGTGTTAGAGATAATGAAGGTATTAAAGATGAAGAAGGTGTTGGAAATGACAAAGGTGTTGAAGATGACAAAGGTATTAAAGATAACAAAGATGTTGGAGATGACAAAGGTGTTGGAGATAACGAAGGTGTTGGAGACAATGAAGGTGTTGAAGATAATGAAGGTGTTGTAGATGACAAAGGTGTTGAAAACAATGAAAGTGTTTTAAAGACAATGATAAAATATGAATAGATAATCAATCTGGTGATGATAATTATTAGATAGAAAACTAACAAAAAAGCTAGCTCAAAGGTCAATCAGAAAGTGAGATAGAAAAATCAAGTTTGTAAAATAATGTCTTCTTTTTTTCTATTTTATTTTATTTATTTATTTATTTTTTTAACTCTATATTACTT